CAGGTCTTCCTCTACTTCCAGTGGTAAGTCACCCCCACCTCATCCCTCCCTTTGGGGGGTCCACCCTGCCTGGGTGGCAAGGGGGGCCACAGTGCTGATGCTCCCACAGGGACAGTCTGCTGCTGGAAGCGGGGTTCCTGGCCGTGCTGGTGGCCCCCCTGCGCCTCCTCTCATGGGGGGCCCCGGCCTGGCGCCCCCACGACAGCATCACCTTCTGGCTCGTGCGCTGGCTGCTCTTCCGCCTCATGTTCGCCTCGGGGGTGGTGAAGCTCACCAGCCGCTGCCCCACATGGTGGGGGCTCACAGGTGAGGGGGGGCTGCGGCTGTGGGGCTCCCCCACAGCCCCAGGCTCGGCTCCCCGTGCCCATAGACAGCCGCTGTGGGCTCCTCTCCTGTGTTGGCAGAGCTTTGTGCTGGCCCTGCCCGCTCCATGCTGCATCCATGTGACCCCCATGTTCCCCCCCAACCCCTGCTGCCCCCCCAGCTCTCACCTACCACTACGAGACCCAGTGCATCCCCACCCCAGCTGCGTGGTTCGCGCACCAGCTCCCGGTGTGGTTCCAGAAGTTCAGCGTGGTGGCCACGTACATCATCGAGGTCGCTGTCCCCGTCCTCTTCTTCGCCCCCATCCGCCGACTCCGGCTCTTCGCCTTCTACAGCCAGGTGGGACGGGGGGCAGAGACGGGTCCAGTCCTGCTCCGTATAACCCCATGTGCCGTGGGGCTCCCAGGATGGGGAGCCCAGATCAGGCCATGGGCGGAACAGGGCCCCTGTGGGAGCTGGGGTGGCCGTGGTGGTGATGGGGTGCCTGATGCCCTCTGCCCCCTGCCACTGCAACACCCCAACCCTTCGCTGTTCCCTAGGTCCTGCTGCAGGTCCTCATTATCCTCACGGGCAACTATAACTTCTTCAACATGCTCACCATCGTCCTGGCCTTCTCCCTGCTGGATGAGGAGCATGTGGGGCGCTCAGCAGGGCGCAGCAAGAGGAGGAACGCAGGCTGTGAGTCCGGGGGGTGGGCTCCCATCTCTGCCCTGTGCCGGTGTGACCGCAAGGGGTGGTGGGTTGGCTGCTGCTGCAGGGATGTGTTTTGCCTCTGTCTGCTGTGGCACTGAGCTGCTGTGTCATGCCACAGCCTGGCCCCCCAGCCTCCGGTCCTTCCTGTCCACGCTGCTGCAGCTGAGCACCTACAGCCTCCTGCTCTACTGGAGCATTCAGTACTTCAGCCTGGAGATCAACTGGGAGAAGAGGTGGCTGGAGTCCAAAGTGGGTACGTTGCAGCAGGGGCTGCAGGGTCCCAGCGTCCCCGGGGTGGAAGGGGCTCTTCCCTGACCCTCCATGGGTTTTCCTTCGCTCCAGCCTTCACCTACCACGAGTTCACGACGTGGCTGCGGGCGGTGACGCTGCCTCTGGTGGGACTGGCCTTCCTCTCACTGTCCTGGGAGATCCTGGCTGCCATGTACCGGTGCGTGACGGGAGGGGACGCCTGGGGCTGCTCTGGGGTTGCTGCAGGGAGGGACACGTGGGTCTGGTGGAGCTGGGTGGGAAGCCTGACCCCTGGGGCTGTGTGAAGTGGGGGCCTTGTCAGGGGTGCTGGGAGCTTTAGAGGGGGACTGAGCCCAGGCACAACTACAGGCTGGGGGAGACTGGATGGAGCAGCCTGAGGAGAAGGACCTGAGATTCAGGGACCCTTCCAGCCCCGATGAGTCTGACACATCTCTCCCCCTTTGTAGCTGTGCCTGTGTCCGTGGCTGCTTCTGGAAGCTCTGGGCCATGCTGCAGTGGGTCATCTTTGCCACCGCCGCCGTGGGGGTATTTGCCATCAGCCTGGTGAGTGCAGGGATGGGGTTTGGGGAGCAGGACCTGCTCTGGGGCCCCTACGCCGTGGTGCTGGAGCCTTTCTCTGCCCCTGCCCAGGTGCCCTTCACCTACATAGAGCCTGAGTGCAACGGGAAGCTGTGGCCCGGCATCCAGCAGGCGTTCCGCGCCGTGCAGCGCCTCCAGCTCGTCAACTCCTACGGGCTCTTCCGCAGAATGACGGGCGTCGGGGGGCGGCCCGAGGTGGTGCTGGAGGGCAGCTACGATGGGCAGAACTGGAAGGTGAGCGCTGGTGCCCCCTCACAGGGCCCTTGCGTGGGAAAGGATCTTCAGGATCATCCAGTCCAACCGTTCCCAGCCCTGCCAAGGACACCACTGCCCCATGGCACTGAGGCCTCGTCTCCACGCTGTGTGAACACTTGCAGGGACAGTGCCTGCAGCCCTGCCCTGGGCAGCCTGTTCCAATGCCTGAGCACCCTCTGGGGCAGGAATTGTTCCTCAGCTCCATCTAAACCTGCCCTGGTGCAGCTTGAGGCCGGTTCCTCTTGTCCCATCCCTTGTTCCTTGGGAGCAGAGCCCAGCCCCTCCTGGCTCCATCCTCCTCTCAGGCAGTTGGAGGCAGCCATCAGGTCCCCCCTGAGCCTTCTCTTCTCCACACTGAACCCCCCCAGGTCCCTCAGCCCTTCCCCATCACCCCTGTGCTCCAGGCCCTGCACCAGCTCCGTGCCCTTCTCTGGCCCCGGTCCAGCCCCTCAAGGTCTCTCTTGTAGGGAGGGCCCCAGAGCTGAACCCAGGATTTGAGGTGCAGCCTCCCCAGTGCCCAGTACAGGGGCACAATCCCTGCCCTGGCCCTGCTGCTGCACTGGTGGTGGCACAGAGCACTGTGCTGCTCCTCCCTGGCCACCTGGGCCCGCTGTTGGCTCATTCAGCCACTGCCAACCACCCTCGCTCAGGTCCTTTTTCATGGGCAGCTTTCCAGGCACTGCTCAGGCCTGGAGCGCTGCTGTGGGTGTTGGGAACTGAATGCACTGAGCTGGGGTGATTCAAGTCTCACAGCTCTATTTAGTGCCACAGGCAGGTGTGGGGTGCCTGAGGAATCCACTCCACTGGATCCAAGCATCTGTTTCGCACTGGCCTGTCCCCTTGGGGGGGGCTTTATCCCTCTGGATGCAGACGGTAACCCCAGAAGTGACTCTGGGTGCGCTCAGCCTTATGCCAGCAGCGCTGGGGGAGCTCCAGGGCCAGCTCCTTACCCCTGCTGACACCCCCCAATCCCTCTCTGCCCACCAGGAGATCGAGTTCATGTACAAACCAGGGAACGTGAGCAGGGCCCCCCCCGTGGTGGCCCCGCACCAGCCCCGGCTCGACTGGCAGATGTGGTTTGCGGCCCTGAGCCACCACAGCAGCAGCCCCTGGTTCAGCAGCTTCGTGCACCGCCTGCTGCAGGGCCAGGAGGACGGTGAGTGGGGCCGGGGCAGTGCTCTGTGCTCCGGGGACGCTGGCTCCAGCCCTGCAGCGCCTCGGGGTGCCCCTGCAGCGCCTCGGGGTGCCCCTGCACCCATGGGCACAGGCTCCCGGCCGCACCTAACACCGCACCTCCTGCAGTGATCCGCCTGGTGCAGGTCCATGAGTCCCAGTATCCCTTCAGCGCCCGCCCCCCTGTCTACATCCGTGCCCAGCTCTACAAGTACTGGTTCACCAGCAGCGCCGAGGGCAGGTGAGTGGCACCGGACCCCTCTGCACGCCCCTGCACCCCGGCTCTGATGTGACACCACATCTGCTTGCAGATGGTGCAGCTGTGTGAGTGCCATGGGGGTGCTGGATTTGGGATCTACCTGGGACCGTTAACTTGCCCTGCAGCTCCTCAGCACCCTGGGCTCTGCCTGGGGCTATGGGGTGCCCAGGCAGGGTGCTGAGCTCTCCCACCCCACAGCCACTCGTGGTGGCGGCGGCAGCGGGTGCAGGAGTTCTTCCCCACTGTGTCCCTGGGTGATCCCCTGCTGGAGAACCTGCTCAACCAGCACGGGCTCAAGGTAGGACCCCACCCCACGGTCACCCCATGGTCGCCCCATGATCACCCAGTGCCCCCCTGACCCCCTCCTCGCCCCCAGCAGGACAAGACCCCGGCAAGGCGCCCCTTGGCCGCGGTGCTGCCGCGGGTGCTCCAGTCGCTGCGCCAGCTCTGCCGCCCTGTGCCCGGCCCCACCATCCTCTGGTCCCTCTACCTGGTGGTGGCCACCGCCTGCCTCCTGCGAGCCCTGCGCCGCCAGTGCCGGGGGGGGGCACCCCCCACCTGCCACAAAGGGCCCCGGCGCGGGGACCCTGCGGACCGGGGGGGCGCGGAGAAGAACGGGCACATGCGGAGGAGGGAGCCCCAGGAGAGGGGCGAGAGCCGGGGCTGCGGCGGCCCCGAGGCCTGCGGGGGTGGCCGCCATGGCACCAAGAGGAAGAAGTAGCCCCCGGAGCCGCCAGCCTGGGTCTCGTCTTCCACCGGTGCCCCGAAGGCACCCCAGGGCGCTGCACTAACGCCAGCAGCGCCCGGTGGCTCCGTTGCCTCTGAGCCCTGTGCTGCGGCTTCAGGGGGATGCTGGCACTGGTGGGGTGGGCATTGGCACTGGTGGGGCAACGTCAGGCACTGGTGGGGCCATGTTCAGTGCTGGTGGGAGCAGCTTTGGGCAGCGCCAGCCTTTCCAGTTATCGTTCCCAGCCCTTAGCCACCACCAGCCCAGTTTGGGTTCTCACTAGAGCAGTTGGGGTGCTGCCCCCCACTTCGGAGTTCAACAGGTTCCTATGTTTTCTAAATAAAGCCTTTGACATTCCAGCCCCATGGCTCTTGCTGGGATTCCTGCCTGGGGAGGAGTCCCCCGTGTGCCCCCTCCATGTCTCCCCTATAGTGCAGGTGCCACTGGGTGTGTGCGACAAGCAGGTTTATTGTATGGCCCCAGTGCCCCCCATGGCGAAGGGGCTGTGCCATGGGGCTGGGGTGTGCTGAAGAGTCTCAGGGTGGTGCAGTGGGGGGTCCCAGTGGGAGTTCTGGTGTGCTGCACTGGGGGTCCCAGTGCATTGTGTCTTGTGGCAGGGATCCCGGTGCCTTGCCCTGGGGGTCTCGGTGGGGATCCCGATGCAGTGTGGTACCGGGGGTCCTGGTGTGGTCCCAGCGCTGTCCCCGGCTTGGGGGTGACCCCGGTGTGCCTCCCCCTCACCAGCACAGCTCCCCAGGGCAGTACTTGTCGATGAGCGCCTGGTAGTAGCTGCGGAGCTGCTGCACGTCGGGCAGCTCCTCCTGCTTCGTGTACAGGTCGAACTTGCTGTGGGTGGTCAGTACCGGGGGGGTCACCTGGGGCTGAACCCCCTCCCAGAGCCCCCCACACCCCCCCCAGTCACGCACTTGAGCTCGCGCACCCAGGGCAGCATGCGGAGGTCCTCCTCGCTGCAGAGGTGCAGGTAGTCCCCGTGCGCATGCCAGGGGTAGAAGGAGTGGAACCGCACCATGTAGAAGGCCTGGGGGCATGGGGATGGGCACAGAGGGGGGGTCTGTCCCCCCCATTACTGCTTCCCCCCCACCCCTTTCCCTGCAACCCCATCCCTCACCTCCTTGGGCAGGGCGAAGTTGTTGAACTTCATGACCCGGTACATGTACTCTGGGGAGCAGTGGGGTGCAGCGATGGGGCTGAGCACCCCAAGAGCAGCACCCCCCCCCCCCAGCAAAAGTGCTCCAGGCCTGAATCCCTGGGAAAGAGGGGGGTCCGGGTGCCCTGTTTGTGGGTGAGGGACCCCCCTACTCCCCCCTCCTCCCTTACCATCGTGTCCCCAGGACATGAGGACATTCTCCAGGCCGCAGCGGGGCTGGTACATCCCGTACTCAGTGCTGAGGATGGAGCCGGGTTGGGGGGCTCAGGGTCGGTGCCTGCAGCCCCCCCACCCCGGGGGTGATGTGGGGTGCACTGAGGGGTGCCCCCAGCAGCCACCTCACCTGTACCGGGGGTCCTTGGTGTCGGGGTTGTCGTGGAAGGTGGAGTCCCCAAACAGCACCGACTTCTGCACTTTGCAGCCCACGGGGAAGGTGTCCCCCACCACGGCCCACTGCGGGGGTGCATGGGGGTCTGTGCCTGCAGGTCATCCCCTCCTGCCCCCCCCCAGTGTCCCCCCACTCACCTGGGGCTCCCCAAACAGCGCCAGCACCTTGCCCAGGTCGTGCAGCAGCCCCACGAGGTGGAACCAGTCTGGGGGTGAGCGGGGCCGTCACCCCCAATGGAAGTGACCCCGGGGGGGGGGGGTTTGGGGGTGTGGGGGCCCCCCTGCTGTACCTTTGTCGGGGTGGGCCCTGCGGATGCCCTCGGCTGTCTGATAGGCATGGAAGGAGTTGGGGAAGTCCACGTCGGGGTCGGACTCATCCACGAGCCCATCGAGCAGCGCCAGCGCCTCCATCACCGTCATGCGGCGCTGCGAGCACGGCCCGTACTGCGCGCACTGTGTGTGTGTGTATGGGGATGCAGTGGGGTTTGGGGGGGCGGTGACCCCAACACCCCCGGCCCCCATCGCAGCGCGCAGGGTGTGGGTGCCCCCGTGCGCGGCTGGACTTGGGGTGCAGGGGGGGTTCACACCTTCTTGCGCACGAAGTCCACGGTCTGGTGCGTGTGCATGAGCCGGTACGTGTTGTACACCCGCTCCAGCAGCTTCCCCTCCTGCGTGCAACGGGGGGGGCTAGGGGTGGGGGCACCCCCCAACACAGCACAGCACCCCCGGACTCCCACAGTAATGGATGAGACCCCCCCGGCTTGGATATGGGGGTTGCAGCTGGATCCCCCCATAATGACTGGGCTGGGGCAGTGACCCCCCGAGCAGCTGAACTGGGGCAGGAGAACCCCCCCAGTACCCGCCCAGTGATGGGGCCCCCCTCACCGTGTAGTTGCGGTACTGGTGCGGGGGCGCGGCCGTGCCGGGGGGCAGCTCCTCGGGGCACTTGGGTTCCTGGGGGGGGAAAGGGCTGCTCAGGGAGGGGGGTGACATGGGGGGAGCAGGGGGGACCAAGGGTGCTGCGGGTGCTGCATGGGACCGCATGGGGCCGCATGGGTCCGCATGGGCTGCACGGGACCGCATGGGACTGCATGGGGCTGCATGGGGCTGCATGGGACTCCATGAGGCTGCATGGCACCGCATGGGGCTGCGTGGGACTGCATGGGACCGCATGGGACTGCATGGGGGGCTCTGTTCCCCATGTGTGGGGCAGTGCAGGGGGGTTCTGTTCCCCATGTGTGGGGCAGTGCAGGGGGGGCTCTGTTCCCCATGTGTGGGGCAGTGCGGGGGGTTCTGCCCTCCATGTGTGGGGCAGTGCAGGGGGCTTCTGCCCCCGGGGTGGGGGGGCTTCCCCCATGTGTGGGGCAGTGCAGGGGGGCTCTGTTCCCCATGTGTGGGGCAGTGCGGGGGGCTCTGTTCCCCATGTGTGGGGCAGTGCAGGGGGGGCTCTGTTCCCCATGTGTGGGGCAGTGCAGGGGGGTTCTGCCCCCCATGTGTGGGGCAGTGCAGGGGGGTTCTGTCCCCCATGTGTGGGGCAGTGCAGGGGGGGCTCTGTCCCCCATGTGTGGGGCAGTGCAGGGGGGTTCTGTTCCCCATGTGTGGGGCAGTGCAGGGGGGGCTCTGTCCCCCATGTGTGGGGCAGTGCAGGGGGGTTCTGCCCCCCAGTGTGGGGCAGTGCAGGGGGGGCTCTGTCCCCCATGTGTGGGGCAGTGCAGGGGGCTCTGTTCCCCATGTGTGGGGCAGTGCAGGGGGGTTCTGCCCCCCATGTGTGGGGCAGTGCAGGGGGGGCTCTGTCCCCCATGTGTGGGGCAGTGCAGGGGGGGTTCTGTTCCCCGTGTGTGGGGCAGTGCAGGGGGGGCTCTGTTCCCCATGTGTGGGGCAGTGCAGGGGGGGCTCTGTCCTCCATGTGTGGGGCAGTGCAGGGGGGGCTCTGTTCCCCATGTGTGGGGCAGTGCAGGGGGGTTCTGCCCCCATGTGTGGGGCAGTGCAGGGGGTCTGTCCCATATGTGGGGCAGTGGGGTTCTGTCCCCCGTGTGTGGGGCAGTGCAGGGGGGTTCTGTTCCCCATGTGTGGGGCAGTGCAGGGGGGGTTCTGTCCCCCATGCGTGGGGCAGTGCAGGGGGGGCTCTGTCCTCCATGTGTGGGGCAGTGCAGGGGGGGCTCTGTGCCCCATGTGTGGGGCAGTGCAGGGGGGGCTCTGTCCTCCATGTGTGGGGCAGTGCAGGGGGGCTCTGTCCCCCATGTGTGGGGCAGTGCAGGGGGGGCTCTGTTCCCCATGCGTGGGGCAGTGCAGGGGGGTTCTGTCCCCCATGTGTGGGGCAGCGCAGGGGGGCTCTGTCCCCCATGTGTGGGGCAGTGCAGGGGGGTTCTGCCCCCCATGCGTGGGCCGATGTGGGTCCGTACTCACCACCCGTTGGCTGCTCATGGCGGCGGGGCTGTGGGTGCTCGGCTCTGGCCCTGCCCGGCCCCCCCCGGCTTTATCCCCGCAGGACAATGGGTCACCAGTTAATGGTGTCACCCTTGTTAATGGTTCAACTGGGGCAGGGGCCGGGCCTGGGCTGGGCAGCCCCGAGCGGGGACCTCAAGCCCAACCCCAACCCCTGACCCCCAGCAGGGACCCCCAGGTTGGGAACCCCCCAGTGAGGGGTGGCCCTGGGGCTGCCTATGGGGAGCAAATGGGCTGCGGTGGGACCCTGATGGGGACGTGGGGCAGGGCTTGGCCTGCACCGTGGGGCTCAGTGAGGGGCTGGGGGCTGCGGGCAGGGGGGGCAGGACCCAGCAGGCAGCTGCCAATGGGGCTGGGGATGTGGTGGGGGCACAGGGACATGGCAGAGCAGGGGCATGGGGCTGGTGCACGGCGGGGCACACACCATAGACATGGGGTGACACACTGTGTGCATGGGGTGACACACACCATAGACCCGGGGTGACACACACCATAGACATGGGGTGACACACACCATGTGTATGGGGTGACACGCTGTGTTCATGGGGTGACACGCTGTGTGCATGGGCTGACATGCTGCAGTCATGGGATGACACACACCATGTGCATGGGGTCACACACTGTGCATGGGGTGACATAAACCATGTGCATGGGGTTACACACTGTGTTCATGGGATGACACGCACTATGTACATGGGGTGACACGCTGAGTGCATGGAGTGACACGCTATGTTCATGGGATGACACACACCATGTGCATGGGGTGACACGCTGTGTTCATGGGGTGACACGCTGTGTTCATGGGGTGACACGCTGTGTTCATGGGGTGACACGCTGTGTGCATGGAGTGACATGCTGTGTGCATGGGGTGACACACACCATGTGCATGGGGTGACACGCTGTGTTCATGGGGTGACACGCTGTGTTCATGGGGTGACACGCTGTGTGCATGGGGTGACACGCTGTGTGCATGGAGTGACATGCTGTGTGCATGGGGTGACACACACCATGTGCATGGGGTGACACGCTGTGTTCATGGGGTGACACGCTGTGTTCATGGGGTGACATGCTGTGTGCATGGGGTGACACGCTGTGTGCATGGAGTGACATGCTGTGTGCATGGGGTGACACACACCATGTGCATGGGGTGACATGCTGTGTTCATGGGGTGACACGCTGTGTTCATGGGGTGACACGCTGTGTGCACGGGGTGACACGCTGTGTGCATGGGGTGACACACACCATGTGCATGGGGTGACACGCTGTGTTCATGGGGTGGCGCGCTGTGTGCATGGGGTGACACGCTGTGCGCATGGGGTGACACGCTGTGTGCATGGGGTGACACGCTGTGTGCATGGGGTGACACGCTGTGTGCATGGGGTGACACGCTGTGTGCATGGGGTGACACGCTGTGTTCATGGGGTGACACGCTGTGTGCATGGGGTGACACGCTGTGTTCATGGGGTGACACGCTGTGTTCATGGGGTGACACGCTGTGTGCATGGGGTGACACGCTGTGTGCATGGAGTGACATGCTGTGTGCATGGGGTGACACACACCATGTGCATGGGGTGACACGCTGTGTTCATGGGGTGACACGCTGTGTTCATGGGGTGACACGCTGTGTGCATGGGGTGACACGCTGTGTGCATGGAGTGACATGCTGTGTGCATGGGGTGACACACACCATGTGCATGGGGTGACACGCTGTGTTCATGGGGTGACACGCTGTGTTCATGGGGTGACACGCTGTGTGCACGGGGTGACACGCTGTGTGCATGGGGTGACACGCTGTGTGCATGGGGTGACACGCTGTGTTCATGGGGTGACACGCTGTGTGCATGGGGTGACACACACCATGTGCATGGGGTGACACGCTGTGTTCATGGGGTGGCACGCTGTGTTCATGGGGTGGCACACACCATGTGCATGGGGTGACACGCTGTGTTCATGGGGTGGCGCGCTGTGTGCATGGGGTGACACGCTGTGTTCATGGGGTGGCACACACCATGTGCATGGGGTGACACGCTGTGTTCATGGGGTGACACGCTGTGTGCATGGGGTGACACGCTGTGTTCATGGGGTGGCACACACCATGTGCATGGGGTGACACGCTGTGTTCATGGGGTGACACGCTGTGTGCATGGGGTGACACGCTGTGTTCATGGGGTGGCGCGCTGTGTGCATGGGGTGACACGCTGTGTGCATGGGGTGACACGCTGTGTGCATGGGGTGACGCGCTGTGTGCATGGGGTGACACGCTGTGTTCATGGGGTGACACACACCATGTGCATGGGGTGATCCACACTGTTGGCTGTCCCACTGCCTGGGGACAGGGGTGTCCCCCACCCCCCTCCACGCCCCATTCCCATGGGATTCCCAAGCCAGGACCCCTCCTCACACCCTTTATTCTGCACAAGGTCAGAGGCACCCATGGGTGGGGGGCTGAGGGCTGGGGGGGGGATGCTCAGTGGGAGTGGGGTGCTCATGGGGTGGCAGGGACACCGGGGTCCCCTCGGGTCCGGGGGCCACCCCTGAGCCTGTGGGGGCCCGAGGTGTCAGCAGTGGGGCTGGGAGCACCCCCCATGCCCGCACCATGGCACCGGGATGGGGATGGCGATGGGATGACAGCCCCAGTCTCACCATGCAGGGTGCAGGGTGCTGCTGTTCATGGCACCCAGCAGGGGAAGGGACCCCCAGGGTGCTGAGCCCGGCCTGGCAGCCCCCCCTCGGCTGGCAGAATGAGGTCCCCCATGCGGGACCCGTGTGCGGTACCTGGGTCTGGGTGAGGATGGAGGGGGTGCCATGGGGTGCCATAGGGATGAGTGCCATGGGGTGCCATGGGGATGAGTGCCATGGGGTGCCATGGGGATGAGTGCCATGGGGTGCCATAGGGATGAGTGCCATGGGGTGCCATAGGGATGAGTGCCATGGGGTGCCATAGGGATGAGTGCCATGGGGTGCCATGGGGATGAGTGCCATGGGGTGCCATAGGGATGAGTGCCATGGGGTGCCATAGGGATGAGTGCCATGGGGTCCATAGGGATGAGTGCCATGGGGTGCCATGGGGATGAGTGCCATGGGGTGCCATAGGGATGAGTGCCATGGGGTGCCATAGGGATGAGTGCCATGGGGTGCCATCGGGATGAGTGCCATGGGGTGCCATAGGGATGAGTGCCATGGGGTGCCATAGGGATGAGTGCCATGGGGTGCCATAGGGATGAGTGCCATGGGGTGCCATAGGGATGAGTGCCATGGGGTGCCATGGGGATGAGTGCCATGGGGTGCCATAGGGATGAGTGCCATGGGGTGCTGCGGCAGGCTCCCCCCCGCCCCATGGCAGGGTGCTGAGGTGCTGAGTCAGCAGCTGCTGCTCTTGCACAAGGCTGCTGCGGTCAGCAGGATCCTTGGTGCCCCTTGGACCCGATGTCACCAGCCCTGGGTGGGCCACCACGGGCCACTGCTGCCACCATGGGCAACCACGGGCCACTGCTGCCACCATGGGCCACCACGGGCCACTGCTGCCGCCACGGGCCACCATGGGCTACCACGGGCCACTGCTGCCACCATGGGCCACTGCTGCCACCATGGGCAACCACGGGCCACTGCTGCCACTATGGGCTACCACGGGCCACTGCTGCCACCATGGGCCACCACGGGCCACTGCTGCCACCATGGGCCACCAACTTCACATCCTCCCCGCTCCATGGGGCTGCTGTTGGCGATGGGGAGGGAGCCCCCCACGGGGATGCTCCGTGCCCCCCAGGGGTGCGCAGAGGCAGCTCAGCCACGCGTGACTCTGGAAGTGCTTTAGTGGGGATGCGGGGGGGGCCGTGGGTGAGGGCGGGGGGGTCCCCATCACCCGTAGCTGTGGGGGCTGTGGGGGTTCATGGGGGACGAGTCCTGGCGGCCCAGCTGGCCCCGCAGCTGCCAGAGCCGGTGGCTCAGGTTCTGCACCTGGCACGTGCCCAGCACGCAGCCCACGCGCAGCAGCTGCGTGTGCCGCCGGCCACGCGTGTGCCCGTATCCATGCCCGTATCCATGCCCGTATCCATGCCCGTATCCATGCCCGTATCCGTGCCCGTGTCCGTGCCGGTGCCGCCACGCGTGTGCCGGGGGGGGCCAGGGCGCGGGCAGCCGGTGCCGGGCAGCAGCGGGAGCGGGCGGCACCGCAGGGTCCACAAAGGGGGGCACCAGGGAGGGGATCCGGTCCGGGGGCTCCCTGCAAGAGAGAGACAGCGTCAGTGAGGGGGGGGCATGGAAAGGGACCCGAGGACAGGGGGGGTCAATGGAGGAGATGAGCAGCTTGTGCCCAGGGAGCCCCCAGCATCCGGCCTGCACCAGCACCAGTGCGGGAGCGGGGCCAGGGCAGGGACTGTGCCCCTGTGCTGGGCACTGGGGAGGCCGCACCTCAGATCCTGTGCTCAGCTCTGGGGCCCTCACTGCAAGAGAGACCTTGAGGGGCTGGAGTGGGGCCAGAGAAGGGCACGGAGCTGGTGCAGGGCCTGGAGCACAGGGGTGATGGGGAAGGGCTGAGGGACCTGGGGGGTTCAGTGTGGAGAAGAGAAGGCTCAGGGGGGACCTGATGGCTGCCTCCAACTGCCTGAGAGGAGGATGGAGCCAGGAGGGGCTGGGCTCTGCTCCCAAGGAACAAGGGATGGGACAAGAGGAACCGGCCTCAAGCTGCACCAGGGCAGGGTTAGATGGAGCTGAGGAACAATTCCTGCCCCAGAGGGTGCTCAGGCATTGGAACAGGCTGCCCAGGGCAGGGCTGCAGGCACCCAGACGAGGCCTCAGTGCCATGGGTTAGGGGTGCCCTTGGCACCGATGGGAATGGTTGGACGGGGGGCAGCACCGGGGCAGAGGAGCTGCCCCACGCACCAGCACACGCGTCCATGAACCGGTGTGACCGCAGCACGGCACGAGCGGCTCCTCCCTGCACACACACTGCAGGAGCCCCGTACACACGCAGGCACACACGGTCCCTGCACACACGCACATCCCATGACCCCTGCACACACGCACATCCCATGACCCCTGCACACACGCAGCACATGCGTGTCAGGGCCCGGCGCCGCGTTCCATGGGGCCAGAGGCCACATTCCTTCGGCGCTGCGGCTCAGGAAGCTCCCGAGGCCATTCCCAGCTCCCGCTGCCCATTCCCGTCCTGTTCCCATTCTGGAACCTCCAGCAGCCTCCCCGTGTCCTGGAGCCAAGCTCCAGTGCCAGCAACTCATGGGATCAGTGCCAGCATCCCATGGGATCGCCGCTGGCTGCGGGGTTCCCCTCCTGCCCCAGCCACGGGATCTGCCCTGGCACATGGGATTGCTCCTGCTCCCATTCCCAGGCCACATCTCAGCACTTGATGGGTGTTACCGGAGGCACCCACCAACCCCAGGACCCCACAGCTCCCATGTGCGCCTCCTGCCCTATTCCCACTGCTGCTCACGGCATTCCCATGGACTTGGCACCAGCACAGAGCTGGACTCACGGTCCCCACTGCTGGTACCCGCTGCTGGGCTCCCCATGTCCCCTAAGCAGTGTCCCCGTGTCTCTCAGACTCCCATGTCCTCAGCACCCCAATGTCTCAGGTACCCCGTGTCTTGGGAACCCCCATCCCCAGCACATGCAGCTGTGGCCGCACCATCCTGATCTCCCAGTCCATGCCCAGGACTTGGGGTGCCTGTGTCCCCCCCATCCATCCCCACTGTGCGATGGGTCATGTCCGTCCCCCCCCCAAGTGCTGCAGCACTGGAATGGGCCCCCCCCTCCCCCCGCGTGGGTCGGGCCGATCCCTGCGGATCTGGGCATGGAGCAGGCACATCCCAACCCCAGCTCCGCTCCTCAAGCAGCAACACGCACCCGCGCCGCCGTGCACGCACACACGCACGCAGCCCCGGCACACGCGTGTACACGCATGTACCTCCTGCGGCTGGAGCCCTGCCACACGCCTCACACACACACGCACACGGTCCTCATCACCCCACACACGCCTGTGCCCTGCGTGCCCCAGAGACACACAGCCCCAGGGACCCCCTGGCCCCCCACACACACACTCCCGTCACCCCCGTGTCCCCATAGGGACAGGCATGGGGCAGGTGGTGACTGCAGGTTGGGGTTTGGGACCCCCCAGTGCCCTCCTCTGTGGGGGTGATGGGCAGCGGGACACAGGCACTGGTGATGCAGGCAATGGGCAGACTGGGCCCTGCCCAAGCCCCGTGGCTGGCAGGACAGGCAGACATGGGCCGGGGCCGGAGCTGGGCTCTTGGGGATAGATGGGGGGCACACAGGCACCCCAGACAGGGGTCCCAGATGGGGGGCACAGAGCTGCCCTATGCGAAGGGCCCCTGCCCATACCTGCATAAGGGGGAGGGCAGGGAGGGTGAGCAGGGGGCTACAGAGGTGCCCCATACAGAGGGCAGGGGGAACACAGAGGGGGTGGACGGGGGCTACAGAGATGCTCCACACAGGGGGGCTCCTTGCTACACCTACCTGGGGTGGGCAGGCAGGGAAGCGGGCAGGGGGGGCTCAGAGCTGCCCCGTGCTCATCCCTGTGCATGGGGGGCAGGCAGGGGTATGAGCAGGGGGGTCCCAGAGCTGCCCCATAGAGGGGATGGGCAGGGGGGTCCCAGAGCTGCCCCATAGAGGGGATGGGCAGGGGGGGTCCCAGAGCTGCCCCATAGAGGGGATGGGCAGCGGGGGTCCCAGAGCTACCCCATAGAGGGGATGGGCAGGGGGGGTCCCAGAGCTGCCCCATAGAGGGGATGGGCAGGGGTGTCCCAGAGCTGCCCCATAGAGGGGATGGGCAGGGGGGTCCCAGAGCTGCCCCATAGAGGGGATGGGCAGGGGGGTCCCAGAGCTGCCCCATAGAGGGGATGGGCAGGGGGCGCAGAGCCACGGCACGGAGAGGGCTCCTTGCTACACCTGTGCCGGGGGGCAGGCAGGGGGCACGGAGACACCGCACACAGGGAAGTGCGGGCAGGGGGGTGCGGGTGGAGGGGTCCGGGCTCACCTGCGCCTGTGCGCTCGGCCGTGGGGCCGGGGCAGGCCGGCGGGCAGCTCCAGCACACACAGCACCAAGCTGATGCAACCCAGCGCCACCGGCACCGGGGCTCTCATGGCGGCGGCTCCGGGGCTGCGGAAAGGGGAGAGCGGTGAGCGGCTGGGCCCGGCTCCGGTAGCCCCCGTACCCCCCGGTGCCGCCCGCTGGCCCCTGCTGCCGCCCGTTGCTCCCCGGTGCCTCCTGGTGTCTCCCTGGTGCTTCCCGATGTTCCCCGTACCCCGCCGGTGCCCTCCGGTGTTCTCCGGTCGCCTCCCCGTTGCCTCCCGCTGCCGCCCGTCCCGTCCCGTCCCGCCCCGCGATGTCCCGCAGCCCGTGGGCGCGATGCGGGGTCCCGGAGGGGGTCCCGGCGGTACCTGTGCGGGTCCCGGGGCTGCGGACCGGGGGCTCTGGGGGCTCCGAGGGGGCTCGGGTGGGTCCGGGGGTTCCCGGGTGCCGGTGTCCGGGGCCGCCGCTCCCCGGCCCAGGTTAAATATCGCCGGGCTCGGCGCGGCCACGGGCGAGGAGGAGCCGCCGGCGCGGGAGGAGCCACGGGCGGGGGCAGCCCCAGAGACCCGCACCGGAACCCGGCACCGGCCCCGGCCCCGGCCCGGCAGGAACGGGATGGGATGGGGCTGGGATAGGGATGGAAAGGGACCGGGACATGTCCTCTGCCGCTGGGATGGGACGGGAGTGGGGGAGCTGTCCTGGGAGGAACGAACGGGATGGGGCCGGGACGTGTCCGGGGAGAGTTGGGATATGGTCAGGACATATCCTGAGAAAGGGGAATGGGATGGGACTGAAGAAGCTATTCTGGGACGGGGAAATGGAATGGGATTGGACTGGGACAGGCCCTTGGAGGTTGAATAGGATGGAACTGGGATGGGATGGAGGAGCTGTCCTGGGGCTCTGGGGCGGGATTGAACAGGACAGGGACAAGTTCTGGGGGAGCTGGGATGTGTTTGGGACACGTCCTGGGGAGGACTGGGATGGGCTGGAGCATGTCCGGGGGCTTAAATGGGGTGGAGCTGGGATGGGATGGGGCTGGGGAGTGGTCGGGGAGGGGACATGGGTTGGGATGAGGCCGGGATGGAGCAGGGATGGGAGGAGGGACCCAGCCGGGTGATGCCCGCGCTGCAAGGACGGGACGAGGCCCCCGAGCACCGCAGGGTGCCCGAGCCGGGGCCCGCCCCCTCCGGGCTCCGCGCTCTCGGAATCGCCGGGATCTTCCGCTTGATCCCGACACAAAAGCTCCGGGCGCGGGCCGGGGTTTGGGGCAGCCCTGATGGGGGGGGGGGGGCCCAGACCCCCTGTGTGGGACCCTGGTTCTGGCTCTTCCGACCTCTTCCCGGAGGGAATTCCTGCGGCATTCCCGGTGCTTCCGCTTGGTTCCTGCTGGATTATTCCCAACGGGAGAGAGAAACCGGCACAAACCCAACGGGCTGAGCAGGAACAGGAGCAGAAGCAGGAATGGGTGCAGGAGCAGGAGGAGGAGCAGGAGCACTGGGAGCTGCCATAGAATCATAGAATAGTTTGGGTTGGAAGGGACCTTAAGATCATCCAGTTCCACCCCCATGCCATGGACACTAAACCAGGTCACCCAAGGCTCTGTCCAGCCTGGCCTTGAACACCGCCAGGGATGGAGCATTCACAACCTCCCTGGGCAACCATTCCAGTGCCTCACCACTGTAACAGGAAAGAATTTCCTCCTTATATCCAATCTAAACTTCCCCTGTTTCAGTTTTAACCCATTACCCCTTGTCCTGTCACTACAGTCCCTAATGAAGAGTCCCTCCCCAGCATCCCTATAGGCCCCCTTCAGATACTGGAAGGCTGCTATGAGGTCTTCATGCAGCCTTCTCTTCTCCAGGCTGAACAGCCCCAACTTTCTCAGCCTGTCTTCATACAGGAGGTGCTCCAGTCCCCTGAGCATCCTCGTGGCCTCCTCTGGACTTGTTCCAACAGTTCCATGTCCTTTTTATGTTGAGGACACCAGAACTGCACACAATGCTCCAGGTGAGGCCTCACAAGGGCAGAGCAGAGGGGCAGGATCACCTCCTTCGACCTGCTGGTCACGCTCCTTTTGATGCAGCCCAGGATACGGTTGCTTTCTGGGCTGCAAGCGCACACTGAAGCTGGCTCATGTTCATTTTCTCATTGACAGCACCCCCAAGTCCTTCTTGGACTGCTCTGAATCTCTTCTCTGCCCAGCCTGCAGCTGTGCCTGGGGTTGCTCTGGCTCAGGTGTATGTGCCTTCACTCCCCAGGGTGTCCATCCCTGTGCCCATCGCTGTGTCCCTGCAGCACTCCCAGAGCTCTCCTGCCCGCTGAGGCACCCATGGGGACACCCGGGGACATCAGCTCCCAGCCCATGCACCGGCTCTGCCCGAGGGCTCAGACCCAGCCGAGGGCGCGGTGCAGGGTGCCCGGGGACGTCCCAGGACACGGAGCTCAGGTACATCTGCGGGTGCTGGATCCGTGTCCCCCCCCCGGAACACGGTGGTGGAGCCGTTGGGATGCGCTCGGCACCACGCCATGGGCACGGGAAACAGCAGGGAACGGCTGGGAGAGGGGAGGGACGCGCCCTGCGGCCCTGCAAGCACAGCGGGAGGAGAGGGGCACAGTGTCCTCAGGGGCCCCAGAAATCCCCCAGTTTCCAGCATCCCCAGTGTCCTCAGGGTTCCCAGTGTTCTCAGCATCCACAGGGTCCCCAGTGTCCCCAGCATCCGCAGCATTCCCAGTGTCTCCAGTATCCCCAGCATCCCCAGCATCTCCAGTACGCCCAGCGTCCCCAGCATCTGCAGTGTCCTCATGGTCCCCAGTATCCCCAGGGTCCCCAGTGGCAAGGATGGACCTGGAGCCCCAGGGATGAAGGGAAGAAGGGACACAGGGATTCAGGGAAACAGGGATGCGAAGACTCAAGAATGCAGGGATGCAGGGACACAGGTCTGCAGGGACAGAGGCACACAGGGCAGCAGGGATGCAGGGATACTTGGACACAAGGACACAGCACTGGCACATGGGGCTGGGGGACGTGATGACACTGGGCACCCACTGTCCCAGCACCATGGGACCAGTGTCCCCACTGCAGCCACAGCCATGAACTGGTGACACTGGGAAACAAAGGCAAGGGAGCCCATGGGAGCCCTCACCATAAACCAGTGTAGATCCTGGTTTACGTGTCAGGGGCTGTGTTTGGTAACTCGAGGTGCTCCCCTCTCCCCTCCCACCCCATGTCCCAGTCCCTTGTGGGAGTGTGAGCGAGGAGTTCCTGCCATGAATCATTCCCGGCTATGGCTGAGCCAATGAGGAACGGGTGCTGATGTGTGCCGGGCCTGCACCAGGACCAGGCATGGGCAGGCCATGGACCGTGGTGCTCTGGTGTGGTGCTGGATGAGGTGGGGCAAGGCAGAATGGGATGGGGAGGGGATGGGGATAGGGATGGGATGGTAAGGGAATGGGGATAGGGATAGAGATGGGGATAGGGGTAGGGATGAGGATGGGATGGAGATGGGATGCGATGGGGATGGGGACAGGGATGGGATGGGGTGATCACACTGCAAGCGATCTATGTGGGATTGACACCGTTTCCTCATGGGGTCCCCAAACCCCACAGCATCTCCCACCGCCGGTGGGGTGCGTGTGAGCCGGCACCCCGCGTGTGAGCCGGCACCCAACGGGACCGGATCACCGGGGCCCAGGGACCCGGTGCGTGCTCTCCCAGCGGGCGGGGGCCGTGTGCAATGGGGGGGCCGCGAACAGCTTGGGGCCGAGCGCACGGGGGTTCCCGCACAAGCGGCTCCGTGCGCGCAGGTGCCCCGCACGCTGCCGCGGCTCCCGCTCACATCCGGTTGTGCTCACGGAGGGGACCCCGCGCACCCGCATCCCGCACTCCGCGGGGGGCCCGGACACCGGTGCCGCCGTGGCCCCGCCCCTTCCCCTCTCACCCAATCAGCAGCCTCGCCCCGCCTCTCCCAGCGGGGATGACGCATGCGCGGTGGATCGGGCCGGGCCCGGCCGTGAGAGGGGCCAAGATGGCGGCGGTCGGCGGGGCGCACGGGCGGGCGGGGCGCGGGGCGGTGGCGGCGGGGCCGTGACCCCCGGTGACCCCCCCCGGGTGACCCCGCGCTGACCCCCGCTGACCCCGCGGTGATCCCGCCATGGCCCGCCTGGCCGACTACTTCGTCCTCGTGGGATACGACCCCGGCAAGCGCGGTGAGCCCGGGGCCGGGATGGGGCTGGGGTACGGAACACGGGCACCCACACCGGGCACGGGCCCGCTCGGCCCCGGGGCGCGGCACAGCCCGGGGTACACGCCGCGCTCCAGCGACGTGGCGGGGACTCCGGAGGGGGGACCGCGGCCGGGACCGGCGGCGGCACCGGCGGGGATGGAGCCCCGCAGTGGCCGGGCCGGCTCCGCGGCCTTCCCCGGGCGCGGCTCCGCAGGCACCGGGCAGGGCGCAGGCCGCAGGCCGCGGCACCGGGTCCCCCCAGCCCGCACCGGGAAGCGCCGCACGGGTCCTGCAGGCCTCGGCCCTGCCGCGGAGCCGCGGTTCGTTGTGTGCGACCGGTTTTGTTTGGGTTTCGGGGCTGTGTCCGTGATGTTCCCCCGGCCCCGCGGGTTGGGGCACAGCGGCGCTGTCAGTGAGAGAGGGGCAGTGCGCCTGGAGCAGGGATATCCTGATGGATCCCAACCGAGAGCATCCAGCCTGGAACCGCGGAGGGGTTTGTGTTGGAAGGGACCTTAAAGCTCATCCAGCTCCAACCCCTGCCACAGGCAGAGACCCCTTCCACTGGAGCAGCTTGCTCCAAGCCCTTGTGTCCAACCTGGCCTTGAGCACTGCCAGGGATGGGGCAGCCACAGCTTCTCTGGGCACCCTGTGCCAGCGCCTCAGCACCCTCACAGGGAAGAGCTTCTGCCTAAGAGCTCAGCTCAGTCTCCCCTCGGGCAGGTTCAAGCCATTCCCCTTGGCCTGTCCCTACAGGCCCTTGTCCCAAGCCCCTCTCCAGGTTTCCTGCAGCCCCTTTAGGCACTGGAGCTGCTCTCAGGTCTCCCCTTCAGGAGCCTTCTCTTCTCCAGGCTGCCCCAGCCCAGCTCTCTCAGCCTGGCTCCAGAGCAGAGCTGCTCCAGCCCTCGCAG